AGTAAACAGAATACATCGATGTCCCGTTAATCCCCTCGCACGTTTCTCCGAATCGACTTCATTTGCAATTTGCAGATTTTTCTTTCAAACAGGCCAGTTATTGGGGTGTCAGGTCACTCGGGTCAGTTAACTTTTGTGTAGTTGCGAGAGTGTGATTGACCTCCAATTTCCAACATAATTATTGTTTTGGTTTTACGTGGCAATCGCAAAAGAGGAACTCTAAGGATCAGCTGTTGTTAAAACTATTTTTTTCTGAATTCTTAAAAGTGGTGGTAATTTAGGCCTAATTTATTCCTTCGTCGTCAATATATACTGATTGAAATATTTATATAGAAAATTACCCAAAACACTGATTTGTATGATATTAGACACGTTTTCTTCAATTCTTTACTGCGAACGTCACTTACCAAATACCAATAATGTGACGATATAATATTTCGTCTAAAAACAAATGCCGATCTGTTTAGAAATGTGTTCTTCCTACAAAATTGCACTTGTATCTTTAAGTTATAAGTTATTTACAATCAGTGACGTGTTTTGGAATCACTTCCAGGACAATTAATTTAGTGACAAATTTTACACGTTCGTTATCAGTACAGGTTTTTGAAAAAAATGTATTATTGGTTCAAAGTACTAGTAAACAGTACAATCGGTACATAACTAACTCATGTCACAGACTCGCGGGCAAGAATAACTCGTAGTAGTGAATCAATAGTACTAAGTCCTACAAAGAAATACATTTTGATGAATTTTTGGTCAGGGAGTAAACATCATTTTTATTCTCTAGGGAGTAAAAATCAGCTGTTGTAAACAGTTGTAAATTACGATTGTGGCAATCGTATCGATATAAATTATTTATCGATCGATTTATTAGGTAAGGGTTTAGCCCATTGTTATCGATTGCTCGACCTATCGATGGTACAATGAACTGTAACACAATCGTAATAGACGAAATGATTGAATCACTTACTAAACAGCTGCTTATTTGCATTGACAGAATTCAAAACAAGCTGGAATTCGTTTTGAAAAGTTATCTTTACATAACAATTATTATGTTTTCTCGCTTTGTTTGTTAATTAATTATGAAATATGACAAAAAATTTAGTTCACCGCACGGTCAAAAAGAGTCACTTTAGGCCCTAGCGATGAAATATGCTATTAGTTACAACTATCTATAAGAGAAAATAAATTCGGTCCATCCAACTCCAAGCTAACATCTACATATTAATATGCAAGCTTGTTTCTTGAAAACCTTTTTTCTCAGCTCGTGTGCATCGCAGGGTAAATCTACGCATACTGTTGAAAAGATATTTTTCCGTAGATGTGAAAAATCCCTTTATTAATTAAAATGGGCTAAAAAAAACACAAACAATTTAATTTTAATTTTAATAAATTAATATGGACCTTTTGGGTTGCCATGCTGGTGACGAAATAACGCAAAATATATTCAAAATCAAAACTAATGGAAAAAATTCCAATCACCTGTTTTATTTACAGCGTGGGTCAATATAGAAAAGTCTGTAAATTACATATTTTTGGTCGAGATTTCGACCACTGGACAACCTATAGTTTATTTAAAACCTTTACATTAAAAAAGTTATAAATTTATTACATTAATTTATTACCTCAGCCTATGTTGGGTAATTTATTGCCGAGAGATATATAGTTTGTATTTTACTTTTAAGTCTAATTTATTTAAAGGTTTAGCTTTTAAACCCTCCCCATAAATGAAACAAGCAAATCAAGTATACTGTGAAGTTACAAATAGTTAAACAATAAAATTGGTCAGTTTTTTAAAATGTTCACCAGTTCTACATTTCACATTTAAACATTCAAAACTACTTGAACTCGATAGTATGCGACCGTTATTGCAAAGTGTTCTACGAAATAGACCCCCAACGGACGACATTCATTATTTCCCTGTTCTGCAAATTCATTGAATAGAATACTGAACCTCTCAGAGAATTCGAGATAGTTTTGCCAATGTTAGACCTTCCACGAAACACAGGTCCTCTGAACTATACCCCAATCCGTTATGTACACATATTAAAAAAAAAATACATTGGGCCATTTTCACCAATTTAGTGAATATAAAAAAAAAGGATCCCTTGGCCAGAAAATCTTTAACCATCGGGTAATGTCATATAACATATTTCGCTTTAATTTTACAAAGCCTTGTAAACCGATTTGAACCCCTTAAAAAAATACTGAATTTTCGTTGAAAATATATGTCAAAATATTCAATCTTGACCGCGCAGTCCTATAATTTTCCCAGAGTAGGCCGCATAAAATATTGTCTTCTTAAGCGTTTCCGAAAAAAAAATGACAGCGGATCAGAAATTAAGAGATAAAATGTCTATCTGACATAAAAGTAACCAAATACACGCAATGTGCAAACAAAAATACAATTTATTTCATAACGTTTATCGTAGGCCTACACAATCACAAAAATATTTTAACTTTAAACTAATTATAACAATATATCTTTACAATGTGTCATAACATTATATTCAGTAATATTATTGCATAGAATGCGTTTATATTTTCTGTAATATATATTCAACTTACCCAAAATGGGTAAAAAAAGAAGCTAGCAAACCTAGGCGATTAGGCCTGGATCAATCAGAACTTGTCTGACTTTTATCATTTTTAGGTTTACTGTTTGGAAATATTCAAATTATGATTTTAAAGTCAATCCCGTTACTGTAGCTAAGCTCTCTGTGAACTGAAACAGGGGAACGATTCGTTCTAAAAGAGTCGTTTCAGAGCCTAGTTCAGCTAATCTCTCCCTCCCCCCCCGGTCGAACCCCTATTTGGCCCTAACTTTCCGTGTCCCTAACTTTCCTTGTCCCCATCTTTCCTAAACTCGCGCTAAATAGCTACACGGCGCTTCCGGTGGTGTGCGCCAGAACCTATGGTAACCATGGTAACCGCAGCACGGCTGACGGTCTATATTTAATGCTTTTTGTCTATGATGTATTACTAGCCAAACAAACTGACTGAAATACAAACTTGTGGATTGAGAACTAATCGAAGAAGGCAAAAGGCTTATTTTCAGTCAAACATGAACAGCCTCCGCGTATAGTACAACTCATGCTGTAAGAATAGAACTCCGCAATTTGTTCCAGGTGATTGTCATTGATCACGTCTCATGCCTCATGCCTCATGTTCATGCCTCCGTCTCCCCACGACCTCCAACTCCACATCCGTGTTCAAAGCCTCACGCCTTGTCAATATTTGTTCACCGCTTTCCAATTTCTCCGAATAAAATCTGGTTTTATTGTCGCCGCTGGTCGTCGTCTGTCTAGCAGTTTAATTTTTTGAGAAACCGGTTAATTTTATTTGCCGGTTATTTTCCTAAAGAGGTTTTTGTCACCATTTTGAGGAGATTTAGGTTTCCTTGTGTCTGTAAAATTATTTATAACTATTTAGTGTGTTTTTTTTCTCTGGGATAAGCTAATTTACAGGCGAAAATCTCTGGTAAAAGTTAGCTGCCTTTATGACATTTACAAGATTTTACAAATCAATAAGAATTTTTCGCTTTGAGAACATCTTCAATCAACGAGATGCAAAAAGTCAAACGGTTTCCCCATGAATGGCTTTAATACAGCGAAAAGGAACTAGGTATATTGCGTTATATGCTATTTTTAAGTATGAAACAATTGACAGATAAAAATTGTACATTTGCCATATGAAAATTAAATGAGGGAGCGGACACAGGTAATGATGTGTGAAAAGTTGTACAGAATGATTTAACTTAGCTTCATTAAACTTAAACTTAAGTGTCACGAGTTTGATTATATCTCAATCAAAGCATTGAGCTCCGCGATGGCACTCATACTGTGAAGAGTGTATAAGATGTGGTGGGAATACATTCTACCAAAAATGATTCCTTACAATGTCCCACATCACTAACATAAACTCTTTCGCCAACACAGTCAAGTTATCCGCTGCACAAAGATTGTAGTGGAACTTAGGATAGAAGGGAACCAGATGATTTAAAGGAGGAGGTGATTAACGGGGATTTCTTTCGACAACCAAGATTTTGTGCCAATTCTAGTTTGTAATCTCTTGGATACTCTAAAAACTATAAAATAAAATGATAAGTAATGATAAGTACTATGATGAGTAAGAAGAAGTAAAAGTGACCCAACCCGAACGACCTTAGCGTCTAGGATGAGACGGAACAAGAACATGCATAGGCTAAGTAATTATTTTGAGTACTAAGGCATCCAAAGGTATTTTATAAGACTACAGCTATCGGGGTCTAGCAGTCAAACAATGCGCTAAACAAGGAAGGCCAAGCGCTAGCATAAGAAGAAGAATGACCAACTTGTCTGATAATCAAGAAGACTTTACACCAATTCTTATTCGCAGTCCCTCGTGTACGTAGGACAGTATTAGGCTATAAATTCAAACACTGGGTTTCGCAAAGATCACCAATATGAAGAATGAAGAGTCTAGGATGAGACGAGACATAGAAGAAGGGGTGAAGGGGGAAAAGATTATAAATGATTTAGAAACCCGCAGCGTCCAGACGCTGTTATCCATTCACATAGTTCCGGGGCACGCAAGGTGTCCTTACTGTAAAACGAATAATGTGGCTTCTTAGAAGACGAGACGTAAAAAGTAAGAGAATGAAAAATCATTCCTGGTAGCCCAGACTCCTAACATCCTCTTCACAATGCTAAGCATTCCTAGATCACTCTCCTCACATACTTAGCAAGCCATGTTAGATGAATGTGTGTAGAAGAATACGGAACAAGAGGAAAAAAATAAGGGACTATCCTCAAAATTAATCAAACTGGCCAGACTAAAACTCGCGTAGAACCAATTCTTTTGGCCAACGTGTAGACACTTCTCAGTCAAACAATGAGTTACGCAAACGTCCATACTGTAGAGCGAAGAGTCTATGATGAGGATGAGACGGAACAAGAAGGAGGGATGAAAACGAAAGGAAGGGCGAAGGTTGAGCTGCATGGATGTAGGCCAGTATATGAGGCGAGGTGGAAAGAACCGGCGAACACTCCGTCGAAGGACTGCGAGCTAAACACAGGTTGGTGTCAGTGTCTTCAGTGTAGTGACTAGTGCAGTGTTAAGGACCAGCAACTCAGGTGCAGGTGATTGGTGCAAGTGCAAACATACTTTAGTTTCTAAATCTCCTGGAATTTCGGCCTACAAAATGTTGTGAATTTTATTATTTTTTGTAGGTTAATTTTAGTAATTCGTTGGTAAATTTATTTCATGTCTAGTATACTTAAAAACGTGTACAGTAAAAAATTCATCTTTTTGTAGAGAGTGTTTGGTTTTATTTTTATTTTTGGTCTACGTTACGTTAAATTGTATAAACTAAAAGAAATCATACTTACCTAAAATCTACTAAAACGTCTACCAGTACTGTTTACTTTAAAAATACATTTTTGTCATTGAAATTGTTAAAATTTGAATTTTTGTTTGGTCTAAGTTGAATTTCAAAAGCTAAAAGAAACCATACTTAACTAAATACTACTAAACAGTATACCAAACCGTCCCCAAATTGATTCATTTTACACACTCATGAAACATTATTTATACTCTAAAATGAAAATAGATTATGCACAATAATTTCCGCTAAACATTGAATGGACAATGTACAAATTAAAATCAATACCAAATTTAATGAAAAATATTATTGTAAGAAATCGTAATGTAAATTAGTTCGTCAATCAGTAGATATTCAAAGATAACCTGTTAGAGTGATTACGAAGTACCGTAACAGAGATTAGTGTATAAAATCATTTCCATAAATTATTGACTCTGTAAATACTTGACTGAGATCAGCAGTTAATTTATCACTGAACAAAAATTTTAAGATATTGTACCATCAAAAATTGTTTCATAATCTATAAATAACTGTTTTCTCTGCATGTCTGTATAAAAGAAAATGCGTACCGGTAATTAAAAGATTAACAACTTTAAAACGTATAAATTTTCATAAAGTTTCTTTAATATTATATTAGTACTAGTACTATAAATCTTACCATAAATCATTTATTACAAATAATAAAATTACCATATATTTTAAAAATTGCACGTCACCAACAAATTCCAGGAGAGTTTTTTTATGAAAACATGTTTGATAACCATCAGCATACTGCATTGTTGATCAGCTTGCATCAATTATCTGCATTATAATTCTAGGACACAAGAATTATAATTCTTATAAGATAACATAGGAACTACTTTATACTGTCCAAACATAGTTAGTAGTATTTGCTTTAACGCAAAATGAGGATTTATTTGCATTGAATTGTTTTAAATATTAAATTTAAACAAGAAGGATTGCAATACAGTTAAAAATCGTCAGTCGAATAATTGGTGGTTTAACAATAGTGTGGTAGAACGAAATATTTCATTAATACATTTTATGAACCAAAATTGCCGAAACTCGTATTACAATATTTTGTAGTAAGTACTTAAGGCTAAATACTTGTGTCGTGATTCAAGTAGCATTGCACTACTTACTAATGTTTATACGATTTTAAAGTACAAGTTCATGAAGAAGATTGATAAATATTTATGTTTTAAATTCTTCTCTATGATTATAATCCCTTTTAACATTGCCTACACACATACAGTTTATAGATGATATTACAGAGGCAAGCTTAGTTAAAATTATTACAGAAGATTATTGTAATTAATTAATGGCAAACAGGCATTTGGCGTTACTCAAATACACCAAGAGTCATCAAACTTTGCCAAGACTTTCACAAGCGGCCGAAGACCTTGCAAGGTTAGGCCGTAACATAATCGAGGTATAACACAATAAGGTATAAGGTATAATAAGGTATAACATAATCGACATATAAATAACATAGGTTATTTATAAGTCAAATCGACGTTGCAGATTTCGTCTCTAGTCGGAAAATTTAAGAAAAACATGTTTACAGTTTTTGTTTGTTTCGGATTTTATTCTTTTATATTTTTGATTGTTTCAGTAATGTCGCAATAACAGTTTTTATAACTTAAGTATTTTTATAAGTGACACTAATGTCATATTTCTGTTCCGTACGTAATATCAAATAAGTAGGTATAAAACAAGTTTAATATTGGATAGTGTTTGTCATTTTAAAATCATTAAATAGGATCGTAATTTCATAATGACTTAAGAGTTCAAAATAACTTCTAAACAAGCATTTTACTTGTAAGCACTAAAACTACAAGTATAAATACATACGCCTTCAAAAACCGGTTGATACATCTATTATATGTTTATTTATACGTCTGTCACCTTATTTAAAAATAAAATAAGATATGTCAAAACGACTATATTGGTTATACGATTGGACTTGATAATAACCGATCGAAATCGATTGCTAACTATGGCATTACTTCCTTGCAATGAAACCACTTTAAATACAGTGATTAACAATAATCAAATAGTTAAAAAATACAAATACCTTCCAAAATGTTTACTTGTAAAAGGTCATGATTTATCTTTATTCTTTGAACATCTATTTTATCTTAATAATCGTGTTCTATTAATATGTGCGATGACGTAACAATATATTTGAAATTTCGGACGTTGCAATAATATCGACTGTAGATACGGGCGGTAACATAATCTGCCAAGTCCGTTACACCGCTATGTTAAACAGTATGTTGCAATGATGCATATTCTAACCCGCAGCATTGGACAACTCGCATTGTCGTTAGAAAACCTTTAGCTATGAAGGTATGAAATAGTGATTGGCAATTTCTTTATACCTCGAGTGGTTGAACAAATACAGACGTTCCCTGAGTTTTCAGGTACTGCTACCGAGTAACATCCTCGATAAGTGTACGTAATGAATAATGATGGTTTTGTCCTTATTCGATATAGCTGCCCTGCTGTGTATAGCTATTGACAAGGGGAATTTCCTTTTCCTTCCACTCTTTACTTACTAATTAGTCCGTTTTAGAATTGATTGACCAAATAAATGCAGTCGTTGGTTAAACACATTGAAATGTCTAGATCTTGTAGTTTTAATTTATATTTATGGAGTACCTCCTCTAACTTGTTTCAATAGGTGAAATATGTAGTAAAACAAAAAGCTCTTATTTGACGAAATATATCTAGATGTATGGCCTTTTTAAAAACACGAGTAAAATAAATAACAGCTAAAACAACTAAACGGTAATCATTCAATACATTATTTTGATTCACTCAACATACGATTTAATCGGTAAATAGCTCAAGATGAGCGTCTAAAATAGGATCTTTGGTTTTATCGAACAAGCTGTTTCCCAATATTGTTTACAGTTAGAGCTAGTATTGAACCCGGTGGGTTAGCGACGTGGTGGTATGCCTGAGCGATGCCGGATCTCATCTGTATTCGCCCCAGTATTGACTTACAAGTTCCGAGTGCCAAGTGTCGAATGTCGGCCTCTTTAGAAAGTATCACACTTTCCGTCTGATGTCCGCTACCCTAGAATACATGGACTATACATTATACACGATACAATTCTCACTATACACATGCATTATATATATTTATATGACTCCCAATACACGCCTATAATTTAGGCGAGGGCTTCAAAATATATATCTACAGAATCATCGTTGTAGTTTGGTATTTTACTTGCAACAATAATCTGGGGCAGTCATGTTACCAAATAGTTTACTCTGTGATCGTTTTCATGTTGAATTCGTTGCACACAGCTAAGCAATAACACTTTTTCCCTCCACGTATGATCATTTTACAGGTACTTAACATTTTTCAATTCAACACCTTGTTGCAAAATTTGTTGTTTAATCAGAGTTATACAAATTTGGGACGTTTGACATAATTGCTTATTATACTTTTTGCACAACAGGTTTAGTTTGATCGGGTATATTCAGGTGCGAGAAACATTGCAAAAGTGTGGTTTTACACATCTTTCCCGGTGTATTTGAATTGCTAAAGATACCTCTTCAGTAGTGCCACTACCGTTGGTATTCAGCACAACGGTCAAGTTACGGTTCTGGTGACGAATACTTCAACGTGACTGTTGTAACAACTGAGAAGTTAAGTAAAGAAAATCATTACGTAATCAAAGATTTAAAAATTGTCATAGCAGAACGATACTAAACAAAGGTGGGTAGAGTGTATTCCATGTATTTAAAATTTTAATTGTTTTACGGCCATAATGTAAAACAAATATTTCTTATTCGTAATTTGTTTCGTTAATATTTATATGGCTCTTGGCTTGAAAAAAAAACTTGATACAAACATTGTAAAATCGCTTAAAATGTCTACGTTGCAACACATTTTATAGAATCTAGACTCATGATCCTGTTTCTAGCCATGGTTTGTGATTTTATGATCAATGTTTATACAGTGTATGTCAAATACAAGCAAAACTTCAGTATTTAACTGTAATACTAAAATAAATAGCGAATGACCATAGCTTAACCATTGACTCATTGGGTTGGAATGGTACAACCCAACTTCATCTCAACTCAACTTATCTTACTACACTCTGAACTTCAACTCAACTCAACTTAACAGTTAACTTAATGCACTACTGAACTTCATCAGAGCTCAACATAACTTACTGCACTATTCAACTTCAACTAAACTTAACTTACTCCACTACTTAACTTCAACTCAACTCAATTCAACTTAATGCACTACTGAACTTCAACTCAACTCAACTTACTGAACTCAACTTATTGAAATGCTGCCAATGTTCCGATGCGTTGAAGCGATCCATACATACAAATCAAATTTAAAACGTTTAAATTGATCACCAACACGTCCGTGCTTGCTTCAGTGATGACAATGGGTGATTCGTCAAGGAGATCACCATCAGCCTAGTGACAATCACTTCTGTGTCACCGTGACACCGTGACGTCACTGCAGGCTAGGTCGTACCATAAACACCGCCAAGCCCACTCGGCTCCGGTCTAGAAAACTGAGTGGTCGGGGGACAAATAATAACGATCATCGGCAAAATAATACAATTTGTAAATATGTATTGCGTAGAACTCACGGATCCATTTATGTTTGAATGTTCGGTGTTCCACATATAATGAACACTTTCTTAAGTTTTGCA